GACTGATAATTGAGTCAAGCGAGCGGTAGTGACGGTAATATAAGTGTGTGTTTTGTTATCGAGATTGCAAATGAATTGACTGTGGAAATTCTGTGTATTGCAAAGTTGTATTGAGAAAGAATAAACTAGTTTTAATGAAGAAAGGACTTGTATCCCTGAAGTTTCTCGGAAAGAATTTCTACGGGAAATTAACAAACGAACAGAGACGTAACAAATTGGTGTCAGAGAGTGGGACGGAAGAAAAAAAAGAAGAAAATGGAAACGAGAGGTGGCAAATCAAACTACAGCTTAGCAGATTTGATGGCAGCAATACAAGAACGGCAAAAGAAACAAGAAGAATGAGAAGATAAACAAGATAAGAGACAACAGTAGTGGCAAGAAACTTGCAACAGTGGCAGCTCGAACAGCAAAATAAACAAGAAAAGTGATTACAGCAGTTGTTGTAGGATAAAGAAAAGAAACAAGAAAAGAGATTACAGCAGATGTTGAAGGAAAAAGAAAGGAAACAAGAAGAACGAGAAAAAATACAAGAAGAGAGACTATAGCAGTTGTTGGAGGAGAAAGAAAATAGACAAGAAGAGAGGCTACAGCAGTGATTGGAGGAGAAAGAAAATAAACAAGAAGAGGGATTACAGCAGTTGTTGGAGGAAAAGAAAGGAAACAAGAAGAACGAGAAAATAAACAAGAAGAGAGACTGCAGCAGTGGTTGGAGGAGAAAGAAAAGAAACAAGATGAGAGGCTATAGCAGTGATTGGAGGAGAAAGAAAATAAACAAGAGAGATTACAGCAGTTGCTGGAGGAAAAGAAAGGAAACAAGAAGAGAGGCTACAGCATTGGTTGAGGAGAAAGAAAAGAAACAAGATGAGAGGCTACAGCAGTGACTGGAGGAGAAAGAAAATCAACAAGAGAGACTACAGCAGTGGTTGGAGGAGAAAGAAAAGAAACAAGAAGAGAGGCTACAGCAGTGGTTGGAGGAGAAAGAAAATAAACAAGAGAGACTACACCAGTGGCAACTGGAACAAGAAAGGAAACAGGAAGAAAGTCTCCAACAGTTGCGGGAAAGCCAGCAGCAACTACAGGAAAGTCAACAACAGTGGCAAAAAGTACAAATGGAAAACATCAGCAAATTTCAAAGTGAATTAAATACATTAAAGGACTATTTACTGTCTTTTACACAGAGAGGATATATTAACCATGGACCTAATCAGCCCCAGACAACATGAAGCCTCTTCCAGACCCCACAGCTAAACCATAATCCAAATATCTTCAGTCCTGCCAGAAGTCAGATTCCAGACATGAATGCCAGCAACTTCATTACTTCCTCACAAATAACATATGGAATAAGTTGGTTAGTCATAGTTTCTTACTTCTTATGTCACTTATAAGGTAATGCTTCTTCCTTTTTCGTTACTCATTAACCTGTCTACTTGATGATTAGTGTTTTCTCATAGTTTTTACTGCGTAATTTGTTTCTATAGATGGTTGTATTTAGTTCTCGTCCATCACTCCTTGACAAATCACACATAGACTATGCTATTTTGTTGTAATGAAATTTGTAGAATGGACGGCAACTGCCTGTTGTAGAGAAACAAGTGTAGAAGACGAAGTTTCGAAAGGCGAAAGTCTTGCGAAACGTCGTCCTCTACAACACAGTTGCCGTGCATTCTACAAAGTTTCATCATGAATACTCTGCCTAAACAATCTATCAAAGAATATTTTGTTATAGTTGATTACTTCTTAACATTTACATGTAGTGTATCATATTTCATCCTTGTTGTATCCTTATAGTCTATAAAGATTAGATCTGGTTCATTATGAACTCAAGTACCATTAGCAGATAGGGTTTAATCATTAAAATTTTTCTTGTATTCCATGGAAGGGGTAAGTTGTCACTTCTTTTCTCCCATATCCTCCCCTTCAATTTCTCTTTTAGGTGTTCTGTTCCAGACAGACTCATGTCCGAACCACACAGTGTTTTGTCACACAACCCCTCGTTGTGGTTCCTTTTACTATCCTTTTGTGTCTGGGACACTTTCTCTTCACATGCTTTCTCTCCTTACCCCATTATGGATTGAATCTGCCATATCATACATCTTATATATATGTCCCTCTGATGGTGGATGTTTATATGCTCTCTTGATTCTCCTCTTTTTAACTTTTCTCTCCTTTCACTGGGCTGGTATGTGGACTACCCCATATCTCACATTAACTGTTTCCAACATCTGGCTGTCTTGTCTCCTGCAGCATGTAAACTTCCACCAATAGCCATTCTTCAATTAACCCTGCACTTGTAACAGGTGTATGTATTCATTTACTTATTCTTCTACTCTTGGATCCCATTATATCTTACAGGAAACACTTACCCAAAATTCCACATCAGGCCACGGTAACAGAAAGTGTTCAGACCATCTACCCTGGCCTAATCAGTGCCCACTGTGAGATGGGGTGTTTCACAAAACCACTGGAGTTCTACTCATCGTGATATTTATATATAATTTTTTCAGCCCAGTCGAGGCTGTACCCATTCCATGAACTATCATGGAAAGAACCATGACCAGAGTTGTTCATCTGTCCACTTCTCTGGCTTTTAAAAATACGATTTCATAGTCACCCATTGCACTGTCTCCAGTAAATGGTTTTTACGGCAGGCACCCAATGGGGATCTGGGCACATTCTACAATTCTCCCCTATGCAAATCCACCCCCCCTTCAAGTGAAGCACATGAGACTTGCCACTTATCAGCTCCCAGCCACTAGGATGGTGGACCATGAAGAATCCTCACTGATTGGGACATAAACACTGGGGGCTAGAAAACGAGTCCCTCTACTGTGAGAAGTGGGACAGGATTGTTTCCAGAGAGTAGTGCAGCTCAACCCATTGCATATAGATGCATCATAATTTCAAGGTGGAATTTGGATACACATTACTATCTCAGATATACCTGTCTGTCTTTATCATACTTCGTACATATACAATGCATGAACCCTCTGTATCTGATGGTCGATTTGTAGTTATATAAGTATCCATATTAATTATGTACAATAAATCAATGTCTTCACAGTGCCTTCCTACCACGACTGGTGAGGAACTGTGCATTGATACTCATCACAAGTGTCCTTCTACCACAGCTGGTTTTGACCCATAGAATCTGATGGTTGAGGAGATGTGTACCCACAGTACAGTCTGAATGAGCCCCAACATCATTACACTTATTGGTTGTCCAATGTCCTGTGCAAGTACTTTGCAACACCATGCAAACCTTTTGCCCATTCTGGTCCTGCTCTCAAATGAAGAGTATATCCTGGATGAGACTAGATGCAGTCTCCCGTGGATGTGCCCATGCCTTACAGTGTCACACTCCGTGGGCTTTCTTCAGCCACTTGCTGAAAGGAGCTCATCTTGGTAATTTGTGCACTGGTCCCTCCACCATCTGAAAGTGGGATTCTAGTTTTCTGTGTATGGAGGCGAGTATTCATATTGGAAGTTAATATTTTCCTTAATTGAAAATGTATTTCCGATAGATACTTCCATACATGTTCCCACCCATCCTTCCCACTTTCCTAGTGCAACTTCATTTGTGGCCTCATCAAAGAATGACATATTTTGCATGATAATGTAGAGGGAGTATTTGCACAAGGAGATGTGTTGCATTCCTATTGATAAAGAATTTTGCTGCATGATACATCAGCAGTAGGATGAGAAGACAGGAACACTTGGAAAGCAGCTACAGGCATAATATTGTAATCAGCTTGCTGCACAACATCTACCAAGGTAGTTCTAAATGGTTCCTGAATACCTCTGCATGTCATTTGGAGACTTCCATGCTTCTTGTGCTTGGGTGTTAAGCTTGTGCTGAGCTGATGGATTTCAGTCACCTGATCACTTAAAATCACTTTTCACTGCTCAAATGCTAAAAGAGTGTGGGAAATGCCTTCTTTTTAGCCAATGCAAATGTCCAAAAAATTTCAGTTCAAATTAAGAAAAACCGGATTGGGTAGATTTTTTTTTCCAACAAAAATGTGCCCCAGTGGCTTGTGAAGGGGCCTGTTAAAATTGTGAGTCATATTCAGTATGTATTTACTGTATTTTGTGTACCTATGATATTTATCTTACATGTGCTTATATCTTTTTAGTAATCTATTTCACTACAGTTATTTTGAGTCTTATTTTACAGCAAACTATAATTACATTTGTATTTTAGTTATATGGCTCAAACATAAAGTATTTTTGTTTTTAATCTTAGCCATTAGATGTTTTATTATTACATTTCTCTTCCTAATATCAGACACTAAAAATACATGAAAGACAAAACCATAAATGTCTTTAATTTAATTAATCATAGCAATATTTGGGGCAAATTTACCTTTCATCAGAACTGTGATTACAAGGTTGTGGATGTTTATATTTCAATAAGAGATCACTGCAAAATACATGGACTATGTAGAGCAAATTCAACCCACAAGTTCAACCATGAAAACTATTATACTGATGATAAAATTATGATAAACTGCAATTTTTTTTTAAATTCCTCTTAACTGAAAATAATCTGTATAGTTTTTCAGCAAATGTGTATGACAAATATTAGTTTGATATTAACCATCAGTCAGAGCTACGCTATTGCAAACAAAGTCATCCAAGATAAAGTCATGTCGATTTTACAAAGAATAAGGTCATGTAGGTCAGTTTACATAAACTCGACAAGGCTACAACACCTTAACATATGTCCTACTGTTAGAAGAAACAAAAAAGATGTAATGCTATTCATCATTCACATAAACCAGTCATTAATTGTGACAAAATCTCTAACATGATGTACAAGTTACATGTATGTCAATTTTAAGAAGCTTTTTTTTTTAACATAATATGACACAATATAGCAGTTTCAAAGTTAAGGCACTTACTGCACACTGTGTATTACTATTTAAACAATGGAGTAACATCTAAATATCTATATCTATTATTTAACAGAATAAACTATAAATAATTTTTCTGTAAAGCAATGAAATGGCACAAAGATTTTATTCTTATATTCTCATAAACTTCTGATTTTTTTTCTCATAGCAGTGTACCTTTATCAAAATAATTATAAACATATTGCTAAATTTACTTGAGTTATTAAGTGAATCTACACAATAAATGTTTTCAGTGTAGTAAGAAAATCTGACTTCAATAACTCAAAGATACAAAGCCTAATTAATGGTAACATACATATGCAAAACTGTTATATCAATGTTATTACAATCTTGTGCATGCATTGATTTCAATATGATATTTATTTAGATATAGTTTAGAACATGACAAAATCTTGTATATTTTTTAAAAGTAATAAGCTTTTGTGTTTATAAAAAAATTTTTACTATTAAATTTTTATCCTACAATTTATCAAAATCAGTGTACACATCTGGTTCAAACTTTATTTATTTGGAACAAGTGATATTTATCCATATCTTATTTAAAGTTAAGAAAAAGTCACTATAATGGATTGTCATAAAACTGTGCAAATTTCCCCTAATGTACATGAAAAATAATAAACAATATAATAAAAAGATAACTTTTCTAACAAAGATAGTGCAATAATGCATTAAACTACGTAGCACTGAAATTACAATAATGGATGTTCTAATTACAGCTTTAGGAATGTGAACAATCAACGATCATTTGATTTAAATGCTATTACTTTCATTATTTTGGTCAATCTCCTTGTTTCCATTTTCAGACTGCCTTTTCTCCTCTTCTATCACATCTGGATGAATGTTAGGATCTTGAAGATGTTTTAAAGTTAAATATTCTTTATTGAGAGAAAGAGGATTTTCTGGAGTCTTATCCATCTGGTTTTGATATTTCCCAGCAACATAGTTCTGAAGCTGATCCATTCTAAAGGTATGGTTCTCAGTCTTCAAATTTTCATTATTTGGCATAATATTCTTACTATCCAGGTTCTCATACTTATTTTTCAAAACTAATAAAAATAATAAAAAAGAGAATGAAATAAACCTGTGTCATGGTGCATGTTACTTCAAAACATACATATAAAGTTTTCTTGCAAAAGACTTACAAGATTGTTACTAAACTCAGAACAGCAATACATAAATACCTGTTAAAGTGTTAAAACACATTATTATTGTCTATCTCAACATGTACACTTAAGCACATCTTTTGAATAACATGTTATTCAAAAATGTGGTAGCTACATATCCTTCACAAGTTAATATTTTCCTAAACTTCCACTCGCAGAATGGTAGAATCCCACATTGAACTTTAGGAAATGCCCAAAGGAAGACTATGAGGTGTGATAAGGAATTAAAAACAACACCCCAGTGGGAAACGGCACCACTTCTGAGCCAAGTATACTATTCACCTTTGAGTAATGTGTCACCAAAACATAAAAGGCTGGAACTTGGAAGGGTCCCAAAAAACAAAGAAATAATGGGACACCCTGGTGTACACTAGCTAGGGCACAATAGATCATAAATTTGAGTTCAACTTCAACCAACACCTTACGACACCTGTATTTGTACATCAAGTCCGAAGTAGGCAGAGGGCCCTCAAAATGGGTACCAGCAGGGAAGAGGAGCTCCTGTACCAAAAACTTATCTCTGCATGTGCACACCTCCAACACAACCAACACCAGATCCCCCAGATACCGACATTTGGCAAATGGTAGGAAGGAGGAGAACTTGAAGTATATGTTGAGATTAGAAGAATATTGAACAAAAAAATGTTTATAATAATTTTTTAAAAAACATTTATTTCTATCAAAGTGAGTGCCTAGCAAATTGAGAGTGAATTTGAATGAATATTAGATTGTCGTGTTCCAGATTTTATGGGTTTTTTTTTCTATACATAATAATCTTCGTCATTAGATAAATATTTTTTCATAATATAAAAATCTGTAAAAAAATTGATTGTTTACATTTCAAAACTGTGCACTTTGCAATGATATTACACAACAACTCCGTTAATTTGAACTTTATAATTTTTGTAACCTGAAAATTTATTTCCAATAGATACTCACTTCTTCTCACATAATAGTTTTTCTCATTCAGTGCTATCTTCGATATGGCTTGATACTCTCACCTGCCCCAAAGTGTTTAATGTGGTACAGTTGCACTGTAGCATGCAAATAAGCATGTGACAATCCTCCACCAATAAAAGTGTCACATACCCTCTTGGCACAGCTGGTTTCCTCTATATTGTAGAACCTAATCTACACTTTGAGATTATGCAAAAAGCAACAACAACAAAACACCACAAGTGGGTGGGGAGTGTTAGAGGAGGTATCTGTCAGAAATACATTTTCAGGTTAGGAAAATTAAAACTTCCCATACAATACTTTACCTCTTCTCACTTAATAGCTAGAATCCCACAATGAACTGGTAGAGGGACTGGTGCAAATTTTACCTAGATGAGCACCCTTTGAAAAGAATTCGAAGAGGTCCCATGGAGTGTAACATCTCTCTGTAGAGACACACATATGTGGGAGATAGCACTACATCTGTGAAAATACAGGTCTCTAAATCAGGCAGAAATTAGACATACCAAAATGGTGTAGAGTGGCTAGGGTGTGTCAGACTGTAATCAGTAGGTCAACCCCAGTCCAAATCCTGGCAGCATTGGGTATTTATCATCCCATCTGTGGGAAGATGAGGGTTCCAACTGTTTTCACCTCAAGGCAAGGAAGCAGAAGGTAAAACAGCTTCCTTCCCGCCATCCCCGTCAGGGCACATGTGCAAGACCAGTACACAACAACACCTGGCCACCCAGGTGGCAGTAGAAAGAGGAAATGCAATGTGGCAGTTAACTCAAATCCAGAAGCAGGCAGCACTGGAAATATATCGTCCAGTCTGTGATGTGATGACTTATGTTAGCTGGTGCTGCTCTAATTCAATACCAGACCACCTTAGAATTGACATCCAGGCAGTGGTAGGATGAGGGGTCCCAGCTAGAGGGGTGAACTGCATTTTCATGGATCATCTTCAGTCCATAACCAGACAGCATCGGGTATGATCCTTCCAGTCCATGGTAAGAGGAAGGTTCACACAATCTACACCAATAGAACATCACCACCCTACTCTCAACTGAATGGGACTGAGCACACTCACAAAGATACCTTAATGGTCCATCACCACAGCAGTAGGAGCTAGTAAGTGGTAAAGCCCCTACTCCACTTGAAGAGGGGATAGAAACATGATGAGGAGTCTGGAAGAATGCAACACTGAAGAAAGTGGAATGAGTGACCATGAAACCCTGTTATTAAAAGCAAGCCAGTCCTGATTTATTCAACCAGGATTAGAGGGATGGGCAGCAATCCCGATACTGTTTTACTCATGATGGTCCCTTAGTTGATATGGTCTGAGATGGACAAAGTTATGATGCAAAATACTGTGAGGATGAACCTACTATCAGTCTTGTGGAATACTCCATCTCAACATTGGGCATTATAGATTGGAAAGGCCATACAGTGTGGGCTTGTGGATTAGTATACCTGGACAGGTACCACTTACCACAGAGTGTGATCCAACATGTAAATTTGTGACCCTAAAAAGGAAATAAAGAAATATAAACTTACTCACTCGCAATTGAACCAAGATATGGAGAATGGCAACAGGCAATATTCGGTATCCAGATGAAGAGGAGACTGCCACTTGATGAAGGTGATGGGAGATGAATATGTTAGATGTGGTCTACATGCCAGCCTGAATGATTCCCTCCAATGAAAGACAGAAATGGGCAGCCAAGGAAAGAAAGGGTTGCAAGATCTGATGAGAGGACACTTAGAAAAGACCTTGGGAATCAGAAGACAAAGAATAATAAGCCAATCTGATAAGCTGGTAAATCTATCCATTAAGAGTGTTAGGGGAAATATCACAGTGAGAGAAAGGGTTTGAATGGATAAAGAAATGGAAAGAAGCCATCTGGGCAACATAACATCAGAGAGCACAAACATGTCACAAAAAACAATCTGGATTGAAGCAGGAATACAAATGGGAAATGGAAGGTAGGGAAATAGAAGTGAATGTGACATCACCTTCATAAGCCACTGATTTCTTGGGAAAAAACAGCAATCCAGATATAGGAGAACATAGGTATGTTGATAAAGGACACATGATACATCGAGGACAAACACATCTGACCTATGATGACCACAAGCAAAAAGGAGCAACAAAATAGGTCTTGAAGGACAAATGGTACAGGGAACAGGTGGCCAAGGGTTTAAAAGGAAGTTGGGTGAGGGTACAACAACAGTGAGGTATCAATCAGGAATGGGCATAGGACAAGGAGGAACAAAGGAGACAAAAGTAATAGAAAGAGAGATGACCAGAGTCGT